ACTGTAAGATTCTTTGCTTTTCTCTCCTTCTCTTTCCTATTCTCCAAGTGTTTACTTTACTATTCCCCAAGTCTCTGTTTCTGTAAGTCCTACTATCTAAATATTTTTGGTGTAAAGTTGTTAATTCTCTATTTTGGGAAGAATTTGCTTTTATTCTTGGATCATTCTGCCTATGTGTTTGATGTTAAAATGCATGCCTCATTTTTTAATTTGTTTGTTTATTATATTTTATTTTAAATTTATGTGTATGAGTGTTTTACTGCATGTATATATGTGTACCACATGTGTGCCTGATGCCCTTGGAAGTCAGAATAAGGCATTAGACCCTCTGGAACTAGAGTTATAAATGGTTTCCAGTACTGGTAACCGAGCCTGGGTCCCCTGCAAGAGCAACAAGTACTCTTTTTTTTTTTTTTTTTTTTTTTTTTGTTTTTTCGAGACAGGGTTTCTCTGCGTAGCTTTGCGCCTTTCCTGGAGCTCACTTGGTAGCCCAGGCTGGCCTCGAACTCACGGAGATCCGCCTGGCTCTGCCTCCCGAGTGCTGGGATTAAAGGCGTGCGCCACCACCACCCGGCTGCAACAAGTACTCTTAACTGCTGAGCCATCTCTCCAGACCCTGCTTTTTCCCCTGATGTTTAATTTTTTGAGTTATCTATATATTCTAGAGATTAACCCTCCATCAGATAAATAGCTATTATAGTGGTTTGAATGAAAATGGTCCTAAATGAAGTGGCACTATTAGGAGGTGAGCTTTGTTGAAGTAGATGTGGCATTGTTGGAGGAAGTGTGACACCAGGGCATGTGGTGATGTTTTATTTGTGCTGAAATAAACTGAAAGGGGTTACAAAAACCCCAGAAGTAGATTACATAATGCTCTATTAACTTTGAATTTTCTCAATGCTAATGAGAAAGGAACAACAGCTGCAGAGAGTCATTAGATAATAGAAAAAACTACAGAATTAAATCAGCCTATATACTTTAAAGATGTGCTGACCTCAGAATGGAAAACAGAATATGTGTTATGTTGGGGACAAAGTTTTGCTTTTGTTTCTACAGGAGAAGATAAGCTGTGGATGCCATCAAAATTTATAAAGGTTCGATTTGAACAAGAGAGACCTCTTAATTAGAAAAGATGATAGTTCATCAACCAGCATGACCATCCAATTTAAACTAACTTATACCACTAACAAATGTTTTTCATTTAATCAGATATTACTTGTCAAAAGGGAACCTCCCCAAAATTAGGCTTGGGGAAAGGTTTTTGTTTTTATCTTTCAGAACGAAGGCTAAGGAATCTGAAGAACACTGGACAAATGAGATATCTGAAGAAAAAGGACAAATCACCTAGAAGAAATGTTCCAAGAAAAAGAGTAAATTGGCCTATTGGTATATCACATATAAAATTTCTTAAGTCTTTCTAAATGTGTGTTTCTGCTCTTCTCTACAGACACTTAACACAAATTGTCTTTTTGTAGTCCCAGTTCAATTAAAAATTAAAACTGGCTGACAAACTTCACCCAAAGCTTTGGACAACAAACTGCTCAGAACAATTTCAAGATGGCTAGATGAGATGATCCAGCTTCACAGACTACTCAAACAAAGACTTGAGATAAGCCCTGCACTTTGGCATTATGCAGAGACTAGACAACAAATGATATAGCTACCTCTCCTGGAACTTGACAATTTCTGGTCCTCACACCTTATATACCTTTCTGCTTTCTACCACCACTCCCTGGGATTAAAGGCTTGCTTTCTGGGATTAAAGGTGTGATGAGTCACCATGCCTAGCTGTATCCTTGAACACATGGATTTCTGCCTCTGGAATGCTAGGATTAAAGGTGTGTGCTACCACTGCCTATCCTTTATGTTTAATATTGTGGCTGTTCTGTCTCTGACCCCAGATAAGTTTATTAGCATGCACAATATTTAGGGGAATACAATACCACAGTTTATTTCTGATCTTGTTCAGGATATTGTATTTATACAGTTCATTTAACAATGTAATGCAATTTGCTAATCCTTGAATGTTATTATTACCAACTATTAGGATTAAAGAAATGAAAGTTAGTAGTTAGACATTACAATCGAACTTGTAGTCATATTAGGTATGTTTTCAAGGTTAAGCAGAGATATATTTTAGATAGATAGGTCATCTTCAAACCCTTCAGAGATCTACAGAATATGGCATTTAAAATGTTTTAATAACTTAGAATTTTTTTTTTTATGACTATGAGACATGCCGCCTCCTGGCAGTACCACACTACTTCAGAGAAGATATGGGCACTGAAGAAACTGCATGTGGAGTTAACTTTCATTGTGGCAAAAGTTAACCACTGGTCAACAAAGTGCCCTCACTCAACTGCTGACAGTATGCTACCCAAAATGGACAAACAGGACACAAAACAAAGGACTACTGATCCTTGCCAAGACAAATGTGGTTACAGCTTTAGCAACAAGTATCCTCTGAGACCAGGACAATATGGCACCATCACTGAAGTGGCCAATGGAAAAGGTACAGTGCCCCTTTCTTTGAAGGCAGATGAACAGGCAGTGGACCAATGGCTTCTGGTGTGCAGTGGAACCATAGCTGAAGCAGTTGTTCTTGAAGGAGTAACTAGGCTGACAGAGTATGGCCTCTCAATGTTAGACTGGCATTTAGTAAAGGAGATGAAGCCATTACTAGGTAATATTTCCTTCTTGGGTCTCTGAGGGAGTTGAAGATTAGATAGTTGTAGTAACAATTTTCCTTGTTAAGAAATTTCAGAAATAAATTCACTAAGAGATGTAAAGTGTATAAATTTGAAAGACATTATAAGATAGTTCTCTGTTAGTAATATAAATTAGGATAGAAAGTGAATCAGATACATTTTGGACTTACCAAAACAGGATAGATAATGGAATATTTTCTCTGAATTTGTCAAATGCAAATGGACTAGACATTGTTGATGTATTTATTGCTTGTATATATTGTATATAGTTATGTTCTTATTGTATATAGTTTTTCTTATATTAGTTATAACTTTTTTATTTTTTATTTTCATTAGACAAAAAAGGGGAAATGTGATATTTTATTTGTGCTGAAATGTGGTGATATTTTATTTATATGTTAATAAATGAAGTTTGCCTGGAGGTCAGAGGAAATAGCAAGCCATTAACACAAGTCAGGCAGGGTAGCACATGCCCTTAATCCAATCACTTGACAGGCAGTCTGTGTTTTCAAGGACATGCTAGTAAACAGCCAAGCATTGTGACACATGCCTTTAATCCCAGTACCAACCATAGAGACCTGGAGGTCTGTACAGATAGGCAGTGACAAGGAAGTGAGGTGGCTGAGCTAAGAGCCAATGAGAAGGCAGAACAGCAAGGCAATAAAGGTGTGGGTAGATAGGAAGTAGCTCACTTTTTGGGAGATGCAGAGCTGGTGAGGTAAGGTAGGTGGCTATCACTATTTCCCTGATCTCTAAGGCTTTCACCTCTGTATTTGGCTCCATGTTTTTTATTTTATAAGACCATTTAGAAATTCATCTACAAGGGCAGACTTTTAGGTTTCAAATGCTCAAGCCAGATCTATTGTCACTCTCTGTTCCTGATGCCTTTGGATCTGAATGTAGAACTCTCAGCTACTTCTCCAGCACCATTTCTGCCTGCATGCCTCCATGCTTCCTGCCATGATGACAATGAACTAAACCTCTGAACTGTAAGCCAATTAAATGTTTTCCTTTGTAAGAGTTGCCATGGTCATAGTGTCTCTTTACAGCAATAGAAACCCTAAGACAGCTGGTAAAGATTATCTTTCCCATTTGTAGGATGACATTTCACTCAAATAATGGTGTTCTTTGCTGTACAAAAATTGTTTAGTTTCGTGAGGTCCCATTTGTCAATTGTTGATCTTAATGCCTGTGCTAACGGGGTTCTGTTCAGAAAGCCCTTTCTTGCATAAATGAGTTCAAGCACATTGCCTACTTTCTCCTTTAAAAAGATTCATGATATCAGATGTTGAGGTCCTTGATCCATTTGGAGTTAAGTTTTATGCAAAGTGAGGTATAAGGATCTAGTTTTATGCTTCTACTTGTATCTCTCCAGTTTTGCCAGCAACATTTGTTGAAAAAAAAAATGTCTTTTCTCCAATGTGTATTTTGGGCATCTTTGTGAAAAATCAGTAGCCTTAGGAGTGTGGGCTTAATGTGGGTCCTAAATACCATGCCATTGGTCTGTGTATCTGTTTTTATGAGAATACCACATTGCTTTGTTACTATAACTTTATGTTATAACTTGAAACCAAGAATGGTTATACCTCCAATGGCATTTTGATTGTTCAGAATTGTTTTGGTAACCCTGGGTCATTTGTGTTCCCATTTGAATTTTAATTCCATTTTGTAATTTCTATGGAAAAAATTGTGTTGGAATTTTGGTGGGGATTGAATTGAATCTGCGTATTTCCTCTGGTAGGGTGTCCATTTTCACAGTGTTAATCCTACCAATCAATGAACATGGCAATTCTTTTCATCTTCTGATATCTTCAAGATCTTTCTTCAATGCCTTAAATGTTTTTATCATACAAGTCTTTCACTTCCTTGTTTATATTTATTTCAAGATTTTTAAGGCTATTGTAAATGTGATTGCTTTCCTCATTTCTTTCTCAAAATGTTTGTCATTGATATATGAGGGCTAGTGATTATTTTGTATTCTGTTACTTTGATGAATGTTTATAAGCTTTAGATTTCTGGTGTGGACATTAGAGTCTTTTATTATATAATCACACAATCTACAAATACTCTGAGTTCTTCTTTTTCTGTTTCTTCCTTTATTTACTTCTCTTGTTTTATTATGCAAGCTAAGCTTGCTTTGTCCATGATTTTAGTGCAAATGCTTAAAGTTTAGCTAAATTGATAATTAGTATGATTTTGGCTGTAGATTTGTTGTATATTGCCTTTATTGTTATATATAATATTTTATCTAATATACTTTCTCACTGCAAATGAAGGCAGACTCACAAATAATTCTTAATATTTAGACAAATTTGAAATATCTTTCAGGTTTTATTTTCAAAAGTATGATGTTGTTAATTATTACTCCACCAATTTTTTTTCTATAAACTGTAGAAAAAAAGCGTGTTTTTAAACTTAATCGGTCTTCTTGTTATAGTCAGGATCTAGAGCATCTCTTAAAGTTTCATTTGTTGAAGGGTATGTTCCCACTGGTGATACTATTGAAAAGAAATTAAAAACTGTTGCAAGTAGGACCAGGAGAAGTGCTAGTGGAACATGCCTTTGAAAGCTTTATTTATTTTGTTCTTCATCTTATCTTATTTCTCTTTTCTTCTTCTCTTAGTCTTCCTCCTTTTCTTCATTTCCTTACTCCCTCTCCTCTCTTCTTTTCTCCCTCCACCCCTCATCCTCTCTCCTTTCTTTTCTCTTTTCTCTATCTCTCTTTCTCTCTCTCTCTCTATCTCTATCTCTATCTCTCCTTCTCTCTCTCTCCCTCTCTATGTCTGCCATCCTGAAACCATGAAGTGAGCAGCTTTCCCCCAGCACACTCTTCTGCCATCATGTACTGTCTTCCACAAACCTTGAAATAATAGACCCAAGTGGCCATGGGCTGAAATTGATGATAATTCTACAATAAATCATCCATCTTTAATTTTCCCAGGCATTATGTCACAACAGTGGGAGGAAGGTTCATCGCATCCTATTGGAAACTTCATAGGTTTCTGTTATCATAGAAATATCTCTGAAGGTTTATTTCACTGTTATGATTTCCTTTAATTTTGTTTTTGGATAATATATGTATCAATCGAGTATGGCAATTTTAATTTTAATACAAATTATCTACTATATTGTTATTTACTGAAAATGTTTGCTATATTCAGAGTGATCTTGGATTATCATAAACATCAGTGATATTTTTCTTATCTTGCTTCTTGATCAGATTCCATTCTTGGAGTTCCTTAAAACTGTGTCACTTTGATGAAAGTATCTTTTTGCTTTACTTGTCTGAAGATTCTCCCTCTGTAACACATACAGCAAACATCAAAAATATATAACAGTGAAACTGAGAGGACACAGAGAGAAATGGCATCCCCAGTACTCTTTAGAGCAAACTCATCCTTCACCAAACTGCTTTGAAAACATCCATTACTTTTGCCAAATGACTTGAGTACATCTTGTGACATAAAAGGCCAACTACCCTGGTAACCTCTCTGTGTGATAGCTAACCTTGGCTGTCAACTTGACATGCCTGAGAAGAGAAAACTTTGGTTGAGGAATTGATTCATCAGACTAAGACTGTGGCATGTCTTTGGAGCATTTTCTTGGTTGCTGATTAATGTAAGAGGGCCTAGCTGCTGTAGGTGGTATTATCCTTAGGCAGATAGCCTAAGCTCTATATGAAAGGTAGCTGAGCAAGCCAGAGGAAGCAAACTAGTAAGTAACATTCCTTGATTACTTTCTTCTTCAAGTTCTTGTCTTGACTTCCTTCAGTGATGAACTCTAATCTATAAACTAAAAATAAATCCTTTTCTCCTTAAGTTGCATTTGGTCAGTGTTTTATCACAGCAACAGAAGCAAACTTGAACACTTTCTTCCTTGGTTATCATGATATTCTCCAAGGAGGTTTAGGGGGGGAAGGCAATGGAAATGCACCAAAAGTTTTGAAATCTTGCCCATTTCTTCACATTCTATGACCCCTTTATTGACCATTCCCTTCTTCTCTGTCATGAACTCTTTCATTCCTAGTGAAAAAGATAATCTGAATCTCATAGCAAAAACAAGAGTCCTTCTCTCAGATATGTGTCATCTGTGGCAGGTCTTTAGACCTATATCTAATTTCCTTTAAGTTATTCAGTGACCATTGCACACTCAAGCATATAGGTACTGTCAGTTTCAGACAGCTTACCAGCACTTACTAGGTTTGAGGGATGAAATAACATTTGTATTTGAGCATGCTTGTGAAATATCATCAAGGATATGTGTTTCACACAAGGTCAGAGAGGACAAAAGACACATACTCTTGTCCTGTTTATCTCTAAATCTCCCAATACAATCTAGGTAGAGCTGGTCTTTGTTATATAGAGACTTTCCAGACACATCTGAAACCATTGTATGAAAGGATATGCAAATGGTTCTATACCAAACACAATTTCCATGAGTAAACAACAACAAAAAAAACCTACCTAGTTATCAGGCCACCTGGCACAGAGTACTTTGGGAGACAAGGCTGTTTCACCTTCCTCATAACAGACCATTAGCACACAAGTCCCATAAGGAGCAGGGGTTTACTCACTCATTTTCCACATCTTGTATGGAGTCAGGCAGAGGCTGATTCTTGGTCTCAGGAAGAAGAAGGACAACAAGACTACCAAGGATGGGGAGGACCCCATAGATGATCCAAGGTAAGGAGTCAAAGTATGTCTTGAGGATCATAAACAAAGGAGACAAGGATGCCCCAATACTTCCAGAAATCCCAATGATTCCTAAAGCAGTTGCCCTTGAGCACAAAATAGAATGCAGAACTGCATGAGGATGCACATTTGAAATTTGTGACTTAGAATCCTGCATTATTTATGAAAATCAGCAGTATATTTAGGCATAAGAATGTTGATAATTTTTGCTCTTGTTTTCCCATTTCTGTTTCATTTGATAGTGTCTTTTCTCAAGATCACAATATTAAAACACTCATTTATCACTTACAAACTCATACCCAGAGGAATAAATACTACATGTTTTCTCCACTGTGCTGATCCTAGATAATCCATAGATTTTAGCTTCTATGTGTACATGGGGTGGAAGTGTGGGTAAAGCTAGAAAACTAGAATGGAGACAATGAGGGAAAAAGACAATATCTTAAGTGAGAAAGAGGTTAATGGTGCACATGTGACATGGAAGGAGGAGACTGGCAATTAGAAGGACGGAGGTAACTAGCAGAAGGGGATTTGAGGGATCAAAGTAACAGAGCAACCAAAACAGAATATATGTGAAAATGTATAATAAGCCTATTATTCTACATGCTAACTTTTTAAAACTAATTTTTAAAAAGTAAAAAATAAAGTAGATTGTGGTGGTATTGTGTTCCCCAAAATATTGTGTACTCTAATAAACTTATCTGGGGTCAGAGAACAGACAGCCACTAGATACAAAGGCTAGAAAATGGTGGCACTCACACCTTTAATCCTAGCATTCCAGAGATAGAAATCCCTCTGGATCTCTGTGAGTTCAAGGCCACATTGGAAAAAGCCAAGCATGGTGACACACACCTTTAATCCCAGAAAGCCAGCCTTTAATCCCAGGGAGTGGTGGTAGAAAGCAGAAAGATATATAAGGCTTGAGGACCAGAAACTAGAAGCATTTGGCTGGTTAAGCATTTGGCCTGGTTAAGCTTTCAGGCTATGGAGCAACACAGTACAGCTGAGATTCATTCTGGATGAGGACACAGAAGCTTCCAGTCTGAGGAAACAGGACCAGCTGAGGAACTGGCGAGGTGAGATAGCTGTGGCTTGTTCTGTCTCTCTGATCTACCAGCATTGACCCCAATAACTGGCCTCAGGTTTGATTTTATTAATAAGAACCTTTAAGATTCCTGCTACAGTAGATTATTTCTCATGATTTTGCCTTTTCTGGGTTCCAAGTTTTATCTTAGATTTAATTAGTGGTACATTAATAGCCTTAACAGCAACTAACAAAAAGGTGACTTTGAGGAAACTTTGGACGCACTTTGTTGTTACTGTCACAATCAATTGTTTTAGATAACTATCCAGTCAATGAGAGTAAATAAGCTAAGCCAACAAGATGACTCAGCAAGAAAAAGTGCCATCAAACCTGATGACTCAGTTTCAGTCCCTGAGACCAGAAGAGAATCAACTCCTGAAAGTTATCTTCTGACCTCTATGGACACATGGTAGCAAGCACATACCTGCATAAACACCTATCATACACACACATGCACACACACTAAAAATAATTAATTAATTAATTAATTAATTAATTAATTAAAAGTAAATGTCAAAAATATTTGAGAATAGAAAAGTTTGTTCTGACCCTGACAATGAACTGCGAGTCTTGTACCTGATTGTGGTGGGAAGTAACTCATTTGCATGCACAAGAGTATTGCCAACAGAGACAAAAGAAAATGCTCCTCCCAAAGTTGCCAAAACCATACGCAGGATCTGCATTTCTAGAGAGAAGAAGACCAAGGACCGTCATGAAATCTGAGCTGTGGAAATTTGTACTCCCCAAATCCCAAATGGAAAACATTCTTACTGGGGATGAGTAAAAGTGTAAAATATAATGTAGAGAAAATGTATAGCAAAATTTATTAGCAGAATTCCCTCACTGGCTAATAAATTGAAGAAGGTAACCTATCTGCATATATTGGCTTATGAAGAAGCAAAGCTTCCAAAATTTGGATTCATGTGCCTTAAATATCTTGATATTTGCTTAAAAAGTAGAAAGCTGGGTGAGTTCAGAAGGATTTTACTTTCATCTTCTCTATCCAGTGTTTCAGCAATTTCTCATGCAGAGTGTAGGAATATCATGGAGAAATAACTAAGGACTATACACTCATTCAGATTCTCTGGAAATTTAAATCCACAATTAATGTGAAATACTGTAGAATTGTGTCATGAAAAGACAGAAGTCCTATTGTGGCGTGCAAGATGGAGATTGGTTTGGTTTGAAGTAATGTTTCAAGACTCAAGAATAAGGACTGCTGCTACGAAAAAAATGTCAGATTTTGGAAACCACTCAAGGAAAGTTTTATAAAGTCATTTTCTACTCAATTCAATTTAATGTAATATTCAAACTTTGTATTGAGCCTTCAGGTGAGGCAAAAAAATCTTACAGTATTCCTGAATTCAAGAGTTATGACCACCTGTGTACCACCTATTTATTACTTAAGTCCATTTAATTCAGTGGAGTCAGTTTTAACAGTCTTAATGTTTAATCCATTCATACTTTCATGTATTTCAATACAAGTGATGTTTATTTTCTTTTCTTTTTATTTTAAAGATTTATTTATTTATTTATTTATTTATTTATTTATTTATTTATTTATTTATTTATTATACAGTGTAATGTCTGCATGTATCCTTGCAGGCCAGAAGAGGGCACCAGTTCTCCTTACAGATGGTTGTGAGCCACCATGTGGTTGCTGGGAATTGAACTCAGGACCTCTAGAAGAACAGCCAGTGTTCTTAACCACCGAGCCATCTCTCCAGCCCCCAAGTGATGTTTATTTTCTTGATATAACTTTCCAAATGAGGGTTGTATTTGTGATCTCATATTATGAAGTTTGTAAGTTCTAACTCTATACAGAAAATTAATTGTTACTGAAGCTGAAGTAATGAGACAGAGCTATACAGAGGAAGAAACAGTATGTTGTGGTCATTTTAAATCAGATTATAAGGTCCTGTATGGACTAACAGAACTTGGAAATGATTGGCCAGTTTTCATGTGCATCTTGAATATAATAAACATTCATCTACTAGAACCAAATGTGACTAACTATTGTGCCCTAAATGCCCAGACGGGTCACAAGAAATTATTTTTCTGTTTGTTTGTTTGTTTGTTTGTTTGTTTGTTTGTCTGTCTGTCTGTCTGTTTGTTTTTTGAGACAGGATTTCTCTGTGTAGCTTTGGAGTCTTTCCTGGGAGAAATTATTGGAATGTATTTTGTTCTGATTTCATAGGTGGGCCTAAAAGTCCTGAGGAAAGTGAAAAAGATAATCTTTGCTCACCCTGTGTTCTTTCCTCACCTTGAGGCACAAATATTATGGCCAAAATGGAAATTCCAAGCAAGGATATGGTAAACAGTTGACTCATTCTACGGCCCATGTGATTCAGTAAAAAAATTCCAAGTAAATTGGCTGGAATGGTGATTACACCAAGAAGACACTGCAATAGGAAGACATTAGTCCTCAGGTGCTGGAAGTTGATCAGCAGGCCAAACACAGATATCCATGTCAGAAATCTGTAAAGAACAAAGAAAGTTGCATCATGAGTTTGGACTTGATGTCAAAGCAGTCAGTTTTAGTTGTTAAAACATAAAGTTACAGCTGGGTTAGGTCCCCAGTGTGGCAGTGCTGATGGTATGACTCAACTTCTACCTTAGCTGGGATTGCTAGAAAACAGAAACCTAAAGCATTTCCGAAGCCCTGAAAGTCTGACTGAACACTCCTGACTGCAACTGCCAGCATCTCATCTGTCTGACAGAGTTCCCATTTTAACCACCTGACTGTTCCATCTCCTGAGCAGTACCCCCTGCCATCTACAAAACAAACAAACAAACCCACAAGCTTCTGCAGCTACTCCTGTCCTCTGCTGTCTGAAGCAGTTTGATGCTTTTTTAAGTCCAATAGTTCTTTCTAGGTACTCACAATGGCTGTGTTTGGTTGTTTCTTGTTGCGTGTGCTTATATTTGGTGCCAAAACCCGGGAGAGATACCTGTGTCCACCTTTGGGGAACCAGTCCCTCCTTTAACCAAACCAAGAACTACCAGCTGGGCACTTCCATGGCAGAGCTCATTTGCCTCCGTCATGTATTATATTTGACTCCAGATTCTCTCTCACCATTTCTCCTGAAGCCCCGCCCATCTCTTCTCACAGACTAGAGCAAGAGCCCTTCTCTCAGTTTCAGACTTTTCTCTCACACTCACTGAAGCCTGCTACAAAAGTCTTGCTGTACATCAGGCAGTCTCTCACACTCTCCTCAGCACACTTCACTTGGTTGGGGACAACCATCTCTTGAAATCTGTGAATTCACTTGACAAACCTCAGTTCACTTAGGGACCACCTCTGGACTGAGTTTCCATCCAGGGGCACTTTCCCCACCCCACCCTACAGGCTTGCTGTTCCCTTCCTCTGCATCCTTATGTTCTGCACCCTCTCCTTGCACGTATATATGCCATTGGTCTCCTCCTTCTAACAGATCTTCTACTTATAGTTCCCAGTATCTGGACTTGGAAGGAAAGACTTTTCCTAACCATTTCCTATCTACTTTTCGCCCTGATAGTGGGCTTCCTTTTCTGCCACCCCATCCTCAGCTCTCCATCATCTCGTCAACCATAGGATCCTCCCACCCCAGGCCGCTGTTGTCGCTCCTCCTGCCTGCCTTCTCAAATCTCCTTCCCGCTTCAGACTCAGGGGTTTAATTAGGCCTTACTGCCTTATGTTTACTGCAAACTAGAAAATCTGTGAGACTTTATAAAAGTACATTTTATAAAATAAAAAAAAAGTGCCTCATTTAAAAAAAAACTCATTTTCCTGATATTTGTATAGTGTAATTTTATAAAATAGCACAGTTTCTTGTATGACTCAATTTATTCAAATAAACTGGGCACTAGTGGTGCACACCTTTAATCCCAGCACTCAGAAGGCAGACAGGCATATCTCTGTGAGTTCAAAGCCAGCCTGGTCTACAGAGTGAGTTCTAGGACATCTAGGGCCACATGATGAAACCCTGCCTTGAAAACAAAACAAAACTATTTATCCAAATAGCTAAAACCTAACACACTAACACATGAGTGGCTAGACATGTATCTTTTAGTCAGTTTGTGTTAGCCTGAGTAGACTTCAGAAATTCATAAACCTTATCATTAAAATATATTGTTCCTTGTCTAAAATCTCTTGGAGGCCTGGTATTGAACATAGTTGGCAAAGACTTAAGTTCAAACTTAACAGGGATAAAATTATAAAATCTTAATCTTGCAGGGAGAAGAGGCTAGGCCCTGCCTCAACTTGGTATGCCAAATTTTGTTGACTACTCAAGGGAGGCCTTACCCACTCTAAGGAGTGAATGAAGAGTGGGGTGGGGGAATGGGGAGTGAGAGAAGGGGAGAGAAGGGTAACTGGGAATGGTATGTAAAACAAAAAATGTCAGGAGCCATTATCATGAGCTATTGCAGACTGCAGGATTATGCAGTGAGAAATCCGGCTATCCTGAAAAGGCCAACGCACCAGAGTCAAGGATTCTGATGCAGGATTAAACCAAAATGCAGGTATTTTGGAATTATTTCCTTTTGAATGAATTGACTGTTTCTTGTTGCAGATTTCTTGTGCAATTGCAGCTATGATATCTCCCCATTACCATCCATCTTTATGTAATGTGTATATCTAATCTCATGATTACATCTCAATCTTATGAGCACATATATCTGTGTGTGGTCAGGAAAATGACTTTTCTTTAGCTGTATAATCTTGATATATAGAAAATATACTAGGATGTGTTTCATAGCCAGATCCATTGTCCCATGAGACTGTAGACACTTAAAGCCTGCTTTGTTCCTTTTGCTCAGACTAACACAGAAAATAATAATCTCTCCTCAGTCTAACACAAACTGCACACACTTAGCTCATTTTTACTTCAGATTTAGTTCAAACTGGACTAAAGGCCTATGTAAATAGATCATAAGTTTAAAACTTTACAGATATGCACCGGGTCAGAGTTACAGGTGTCTTACCAAGGTTACTAACACAAAACATTCTAAGAAAAGCCTACCAATTCTTTGTGGTAATATTTTATTTGTGCTGAAATGTGGTGATATTTTATTTGTGCTTTAATAAATAAAGCTTGCCTGAAGATCAGAGGAAAAAGCCAGCCATAACACAGAAGTCATGCAATGTTAGCACACACCTTTAATCCTATCACTTAGCAGGCAGGACTCCTGCAGGCAGGTCTGACCACCACCCCCACACTGGATCCTGTTACCTACAAGCCCCAATCCACCCCCCTACCCACCCATGCTCCAAGACCCCAGCTGCTCCTTGAGACACAGACTCCACCAGCTCTGATTGGACCAAGAGCTCCAGTTGGACCAAGAGTAGCTCCATGAGACACAGACACCATTGGCACCAATTGGAGGAAGAGACAGGTAGATGCCAGTGCAAGAATACATTCAACAACATGAAGAGCAATATGGCACCACCAGCACCTAGTGGTTCTATATCAGCAAGACCTGAGCATACCAACATAGAAAAGGCAGAAGAAAATTACTTTAAATATGACATTAAGAAGATGACACAGGCCTTTAAAGAAGAAATGAAAAATTCCCTTACTCTGCTGACTCCCCATGGGAGACCTTGATTTGGGGGATGTGGGGATGTGGGGTGGCTTGGGAGGAAGAGCTGGGGATAGGAGAAGGGAGGAGATGGGATCTGTAGGTGTTATGTAGAGTGAGTAGAAAATTTCTTAATAAAGAAAAATGAAAAGAAAAGAAAAATTCCCTTAAAGAAATTGAGGAAAAGACAAACAAAAAATTGGAAGAAATCAACAAATCCCTTAAAGAAAGCCAAGAAAAATCAATTAAACAGGTGAAGGAAACAGTTCAAGACCTGAAAATTGAAATACAAACAAGGAAGAAGACACAAACTGAGGGAATGCTGGAAATAGAAAATCTGAGTAAATAAGCAGGAACTACAGATGCAAGCATAACCAACAGAATACAAGAGATGGAAGAGAGAATCTCTGGCATTGAAGATAGGGTAGAGGAAATAGATTTGTCAGTCAAAGAAAACACTAAATCCAAAAAAGCCATAACACAAAATATCCAGGAAATCTGGGACAACATGAAAAGACCAAACCTAAGAATAATAGGGATATTAGAAAGAGAAGAATAAACTCAAAGGCACAGAAAATATATTCAACAAAATCATAGAAGAAAACTTTCTCAACCTAAAGAAGGAAATACCTATAAAAATACAGGAGGGTTATAGAACACCAAATAGACTGGATCCAAAAAAAAAAGTCCCCTTGCCACATAATAATCAAACCACTAAACATACAGAATAAAGAAAAAATATTAAGAGCTGCAAAGGAAAAAGGTCAAGTAACATATAAAGGCAGACCCATCAGAATAACACCTGACTTCTCAATGAAGACTCTAAAAGCCAGAAGGTCCTGGACAGATGTTATGCAGATACTAAGAGATCATGAATGCCAACCCAGACTATTATACCCAGCAATCAACATAGACAGAGTAAACAAAATATTCCATGATAAAACCAGATACAAACCATATCTCTCCACAAATCCAGCCATACAGAAAGCACTAGAAGAAAAAATCCAACCAAAGGAAGTTAAAGGTACCCATGAAAACACAGACAATATGCCGGGTGGTGGTGGCGCATGCCTTTAATCCCAGCACTTGGGAGGCAGAGGCAGGCGGATCTCTGTGAGTTCGAGGCCAGCCTGGGCTACCAAGTGAGTTCCAGGAAAGGCGCAAAGCTACACAGAGAAACCCTGTCTCGAAAAACCAAAAAAAAAAAACAAAACAAAACAAAACAAACAAAACACAGAAAATAAATAATCCCACAACAGGAAATTCCAAAGAAGAGAAACACACACACACTACCACCAAAAAAATAACAGGAATTAACAATCACTAATCATTCAAATCCCTTAATATCAATGGTCTCAATTCACCTATAAAAAGACACAGGCTAACAGAATGAATATGAAAACAGAATCCATTCTTCTGCTGAATACAAGAAACTCACCTCAACTTCAAAGACAGACACTACCTCAGAGTAAAGGGCTGGGAAAAGTCTTTGCAGTCAAATGAACTTAAGAAGCAAGCTGGTAGCTAACAAGGAAGACCCAAAGAGGGACACATGGATCACCCTGGGAAGGGGAACTAGATGAGATCTCCATAAGTAAACTGGGGATGAGGGGTGGGCAATCGAGGGTAGGGGATAGGGGAGGAGAACATAAGAGAATGGGATGGTTGAGCTGGAACAGGGATGGAGTGGGAAAGCAATGAAAGAGATACCATGATAGAAGAAGATATCATGGGGATAGAGAGAAGCCCAGTGATAGGGAGGTTGTCAGGAATCCCCAAGGATGACCCCAGTTTGGATTTAGACTACTAAAAATAATGGAGAGGGTGCCTGACCTGCAATGGCTTGCCCCCGTGATCAGACCAATGAATACCCTAACCGTCATCACAGAGCTTTTCTTCAATGACTGATGGAAGCA